CGCCAGCCAGCGGGGCTCCCCGCCGGCGCCGCCAGGTCATCCCGACCAGGACATAAACACACTCTGTGGGAGCGCGAGTGCAGCGCCCACGGTACGGAGGAGCACGCGAGAGGCTCGGGCACAGGGAGAACCTGGTTGGTCGCTCTTGAGCCACCAGTTTTTTTCAGTGTGCTAGGGTCATTTTTTGAGCCCCTGCTGCTTCCCACCCACCCTTCCTGGCGCAGGGGCTGCAATCACAGCACACGAGACACCACGCTGAGTGTGTGAGGGTTTTAATTCTTTACAGCCTCCTTACAAACAGCTCAGGCAGTGCGGGGGGGGGGGGGCGGCTTAGCCAGGACCCTACAGCTAGAACAGCCCATGGTCTGTGCCACATGTTTGAACCAAGCAGCATGATCGTGTTTGGTATCTTTAAGCCCAGTAGAAACAAAGCCAGTAGTGGGATCACAGTCTCAGACACAGCTAAGTGGGGTCTTAACGACAGCCAACAAAAGAGCACCAGTGAACGCTGCTCCTTGGGCGGCACTGAGGTCATTTCCATCAGTGACATGAAAACATTGTCCTCTGTGAGTACGCAATGTGCATGGGCTACACGGGACAGAGGAGCAGATGAGAGGGACAGAGAGAAACTCTTAGGCACTGGGTTTATCCAGTCAGTCACTCTTTAGTCATGCATAGTTTTTTCATAGTGCCCTGCCTTAGCATGGTGATAGTTTTGGCTTTGCTGTAATGGGGAGGCTGAGACAATCTAATTCTATTAGGAAACTCAGGAGAAATCCCAGAGAGTATTTATAAACCCCAGAAAACTGGGCCCCTTCTGCTATACTGTAAGGCAGGCTCCTGTACTTGGGGAAATGTAATGCTGCGTGTGAAGTTCACTCCAAAGGCTCCATGTTCTTCTGCCCATTTTGGGATGCAGCCTTCAAAGTCTTCCAGGCAAAGGTATGGATGGCACAGATGCTCAGCTCCCTTCTCCTCCTTTTCACCGACGCTGGTTCAGTCCAGTCAGATTCTTTATCTTTTGCACAAGAGAATGGAACAGCAATGAAAAGACCCAGAAAGTTGTGAATACCTGTTGCCGATGCGCACAGTGGCGGCCTGTAAATGTTCTTTCTAGATGGCTGCGGCTCTTCCTTGATGGAAAGGGATTAGTAAAATACCAAGCAGAGCTGATGTCTAGAAAGAATTCCTCAGCACTGACAGCTCACTATCACAGCTGTCTAATGCAGCTGTTCTCTGAAATGGCATCCTTTCCCCCATCTCTGTAATGGTGGCAGCATTCTCTCCAGTCAATGAAGGCTAGATATGGCTCCCTCTAGAGTACACTGAACATCTCTATGCACTAGCTAGAATTGTCCTTTGGATTATGACCCCTCTTCCTGATTCTCTAGGGTCTATGTGGATTGGGTAACTTCCACTTTATAAAATCACCCCCACAACAAAGGAATCACTACCTACATCTCAGAAATGCAGCCACTGTTGTGATGGAACACAGCCATTGTTTAACACTACCAAGAGGTTATTGCATTTAGAGAAGGATTTTGTATCAACTGAACCTGCAGCAATTTAAATAAGCAAAATATAATCCCCTAGGCCAGAGCTTTCCAAACTGTGTGCCGCGACACATTAGTGTGTCGGCGGCAGTGTGTAGGTGTGTCGCGCGAAATGCAGAAAATTTTGCGGAAGGGCACCACAGAGCTCCCTTACTCGCGTCTGCTTCCCTTGGCCCCTCCCCCGGAACTGAATTACTGTGTCGCGAAATGATGCATGTCTAAAAAGTGTGTCACCAACATGAAAAGTTTGGAAAGCTCTGCCCTAGGCAGTCACTTGGCCAGAGTTAAGGGACAGACATCCTGACTCTTACAGAAGGGTCTTGAGGATTATTTAATAAGATGCAGTGGTCAGGAATCATATGTATCTATACATACTCAAACAGGAATTATGTATACTCATATATTTAACAAGATACTGAAGAGCCACTCTCTTCTACTAGGCTCAAAACCTGGGATGAAGAAGAAACCAACATCAAACCTGAAGAGGAACAGAAACAATCTCACTATTTTCAGTGTTACTTACAGTAACTGCAGCTCCCATTAGACCTTGGACAAGTGCTTCTCCTGTTGACTGTACCTGGGAGACATAAGGAAAACATAACCTGTAGCTTTCTTTTGCCTTTATCCTTGTGTATGATTCAGCA